CCCGGGGTGGAGGGGGGGCCGGCGAGGGCTACATGTGCGGGCCCGCCAAGAAGGGGAGGGGTTCGCGCGCTGCTTGGCCGGCAACCCTGTGCGCCAAGCCAACTGGTCGGTTTCAATACCAGCTCATTTGCCCCAGAGGAGACTTTAGGGGCTCGGGACGCTGTAAAACACTTTTCTCAGGGTCTACCAGCGTTTGCTGCCCTCCCAGCTCCAAGACCCTGGAACTGGAACCCATTGGCTCCCAGATACGGCTGTGGCCCCAAGATGCTAGTGCCCAACCAAAGGGGTGGGAAAAGTTGATCTTCCGCGAGTGAGGGGAAGGTTCAATTCATTTTCCCAGACAAGACAACCAATGGAATACCTCTCGTCTCTCTTCCCTCCCACCTGCGCAAGGCAGAAGTTAGGATGGCGCCTTCCATCTTGGCCTGTGTGCACACGCAAGTGTGGAAGGGGATCTGTGGGCGGAGGTAACAGCAAAGGCAGTTCTGCAGTCCCGCTCGACGGCGCTTTGTACCATAGACCTCTCTGTGGCGTGTAAGACACCAGGTGCCTGGGTGGAAATAGGAATGCCACCTCTGACAGCGCACCCCTTCAAAGAACCTCTCGTTCTGATTAGCTGGGCCCCACCCGAGCGGGGACCAAACGTGTGTTTTCAGCCTTAACAGAAGAGGAGGAATCACTAATTCCACAAACAAAGCCAGGTCCCCGCCGGGTGGCAGGGGAGGGAACTCAGAGGGGAGAGATGCGCCCCTAGTCTTTCCAGGCTTGCTGGAGCCCTCAACAAAGCACAAAATGAAGATGGAGCTGTCCTGTAAGGGCTGCAGACAGTCACAGGGTGCCTGCTGGGGCATGGTCGCTCCAGGAAGGCTCATGTTAGGATGTGCAGGGGTAGATGAAGGCACAGTCCTTCCAGGTAGATCAGTTGGGCAGCCAGAAAATACAGAAAATGTCACTTAAGGGTAATTGAGAGTGACTGGGATTACAGCTGCCCAGCTGAAGCATATCCTGGGGGTGTGGCCTGGCTGAGAAGACTGGTGTGGTAGAGCCCCCAGCACACACCTCAGAGATCAGTTTTGCCTCTGCATTCCCTGGGAGAAGTCCCGACTATCCACCAGGAACCCCAACACCACCTGGGCGAAAGTTTTGCTGGACCACTTAAATAACATCTACTACTCAGTTTGTCCTGGCAGACATTCAACTGTGCAGAGCCCAAGCAAGTTAACTTGGTGATAAAGCCCAGACTAGTGAAAGTTCTATTTCTAGTCCTCCCCTTCACTTTGTGACCTTGGGTAAGTTCTTGAAACTCCTGAGCTTCATCTTCTGTATTTGTAGAAGAAATGCATGTTATTAACCATAGAGAGTCCTTATCAGGATTCCATGTGGCAGTAACTACAGGGTATAAGACCCAAAGGAGGCCAGTGATGTAGGGAAGGGGTCATGGGACATCTCTGGTTCTTGGATATGGAACAGGCATTGCTCTTTAAATATGTGCATTAGTCCCCAGGAATAGATTCAGGTATGGTCTCCCACCAAGGCATGTGAGGCTCTCAACCCAGATAATTTGGGCTGTATGATATTGTTGGAAATCCTTAACCTTTCTAACCTGTTTCCCCATTTATAAATTGGTGGCAGTCTTTCTTCTGGGATTGTTTGTGAGTTAAATAGATTGTATATGGAAAATCTTATTGTGTGCCTAACCAAGGAGGATTCTGTATATAGTGATACTTATGTATTCACCCCACTAACTACCAATGTCCTATTGAGATGGGAAGAATGCTACAGAATTAGACCCCACATTTTACTCCTTACCCCACCCACCCACCCCCAAGCAAGTAGAATTGAAGTAACTGTGTTTGTAACCTGGGTCTGGAGGAGAGACACCACGAGACCAGAGAGTTCAGTAAAATCAAATGCTGAAGCCCTAAGACACAGCAATTAAAGTATGTTGGAGGGGAAAACATATTTTGGGAAACTGAAATGTGAGATTTTTAAAAAATGTTATTTCTATACTCATTTTGTTTTGTTTATACATTAGTTGTATGTATTGTCATTTTTGTAGTGTTCTAGTGTAGTTTAATTTATTCAGGAATAATAGCTAAATTACTGGTTCTTCTTTTGAGAATGTATTGTCAAAAGAATAAAGACTACCTATGGAATTAATCAAAGACTCCTTATTCAGAGCTCAGCACCGTAAGGAAGTCAGCTAGGCACCTTTGTTCTGGCAGAGACTGGAAGAGATTTTAAAGGAGAGTGAATTTTATAAAGTAAAAGAATGATTGAGGAGATCTAATATGGTTAATAGCTTTGTTTCTTACTGAGTTTTCAGCAAGTTACTAAACCTCCATAGGCTTCAGTTTCTCAGCTGCAGAACATACCTATTTCACAACAGTTTTGTTAGAATTAGGTGAAATTAAATGAAATAACATCTGTAAGTAGTCGTTACAACTATACTTTCCTTCAATTAAAAAACACTGTTAAAAAGTGCTATAATGCATCCTCATTTTTCCTCCAATGGTTGGGAAACAGCATGAATAAATATTTTTTTTTTAAATAACAAGAGAAGATTTTTTATAGTTAAGAAAAACTGATTATCTTTCTATAGTTTTAAACTGAGAGAATTTAAATAGTCCTATCTGAAAAGTAACATGAGAAGTAAAACCCAGGACTTGGATGGAACAGTTGCAACAAAGTTTCTTTTTCCAATTTTCATGTTCTGCAGCTTTTTCTTCTGTGTTTTTCAGAACTAATGGTTCCTGGCTTGGGGCAAGGTCCTTAATCCTTTCTCTTGGGCTCCCACCTTGGTTTGGTTCTTCCTGAGCACAGAGCATTGGGTCCCACTTTACTGCTGGAGGATTTCTAGAAGAGGGCAGGATCTCTCACTGTCAGTGTCTAGGAAAAAAGCACCTGGAGAGACATCCCTCTGGACACTCAGTTTGCAACAGCTAGAAAGCCCTCTCTGGCACACTGGTGCCTCCAGCTTCTAAAATGCACAGGAATTTATTAGTGCTGCTGACCATTCACATCAAAGGCTTCAATCACCTTCACATCCCAGGTATACTACCGCTGACAACCAAATTCTTTCCACTTCTCAATAGTTCTTTCCCTTTGTTCCCATTGGTATTTGTAAGAGAAATGCACTTAGATTCTCTAAAATAATATAATTTATCAATATCATTGAGCAAAAGAGAGTAGAAGCCAAACTGAATCAGATACAGTGATTTGAAGAAGTGAGAGTTACACAAAATACTTTCAGATGAAAAGTTTTTGAAAATGTTTTGGGTGAATAAAGGAAAAGTAGATATTCCTCTGACCTGATAGATTAGAATAAAAACAGAGAGCTAGTGTCACCCCTGTTGATTTCACTGGATAGGAATGAGATTGGAACACTACATCGGAAGGTGCAATGTCTTCATTCATTTATTAAATGAGCATGATGCATTTATTTATTACTTAGTGTTTGAGACAGGAGGGGCACAGTACTGCATAAGATGCAGTCTTGTCTCTTAAGAGGCTCAAAATATATTGAAATAATTGGGCAACTAAATAGCTTTATTTTGGTGTAAAATGAGTCTGATAATCCTTTTAGAACACACAGGGCATTTAATGGCTGTTGGAGTTGGGGAAGGCTTCATGGGCACAGTGAAAGAGGAGGGAGGACTGAACACAGAGAAGTGTAAGGAGATGCTTTCTTCTAAAGGATCCAGGTAGGTGTCATTCAAAAGTTCCCTCTCAAAGAGCAGACTAAGTGCTGAGGGCCATTGCCAAGTAGGAATGACGCATTGAAATTTCCTTGCCAGTGTACCCCATGTTGCTTAGAGGAAGGACTAGTGAAAATGGACTTGCCTTGGACATTCGCTGTGACATTGCATGTATGTTTGAGAAAGGTGACCCTGCTCAAGGACCAGGGTGGATCTGGGTTTAGGGAGGATCCTACTGGATTAGGGCAGATCCAGGTTTAGGGTGTATCCTGCAGGTTTTAGGGAATATCCCGCTCCTTGGGTTTAGGGCGTTCTGGTTTAGGACAAACTGGGTTTAGGGCGGTTCCAGGTTTAAGGTTATTCCTGCTGGGAATAGGGCGTATCCTGCTGCCTGAGTTCCCATAGAGTTCTCTTGGAATTCAGAAAGTATTTGGGATTCAAAGCCTGGTGGAGTATGTGAATTTTGTGACAGAACTTGAATTTCCCCAGAACGTGTTTGTACAGGGCCGGTGTGAGTTCAGGAATAAAGGATTGCTGTTTGAATCTACAAAGCTGTGAGTGGCTCGTGATCTTGTGCCCAGCCAGACTGCGGCAACTAAG